AGGGGAGGGTGACCGACGGGAGGTGCGGGATCATATTTATCGGGTCTCGGGACAAAGTCTTTTTCGTAAGCTGGATAACCACATCGTTCATCCTGCTGTCGGTGGCGCAAAAACAGGATATGACCCCTTATGCCACAGTAGACGCAGGCGGGGCGTGGAGGACACCATGTAGAATAGTGGGGTGGCCTTGGCACTTGCGTTGCCATCACAGCCAAATGGTCGCATCCGACGTCCGCAGGCACAGTTGGAACTGGAGCAGATCCCCTGATGCAACTTCTGCGTACGATAGTGCCGGAAAGCGCACAGGAGACGGGGCATGTGCAGTCGGTTGTCATTGATGCTAGTTCGTCCTTGATTATCTCACGTAGGTTAAGAGGAGGTGCGCGGACAGACGCAGTGATTGGGTTGTCTAGAATAAGGCCGTGGAGTTCCCCTCTGACAATTGTGCGGATAAGGGCTCGCCATTGATGCTCTCCGGTAAAGTGAGCATCGCTAGGACGTGTGTGGAAGGTGCATAGAATGAAGCGCGTCCAGGCGTTGGCATGCGGTGATGGCGTCCCTGACAGTAGTTGGATTCTGGATAACGAGAACATTGAAAGCCACAGAGTTGATACCTTTCAGTAGCTGTCAAATGCGATCGGCCTCTTCATGGCATTTTGTGCTCGGGGACAGAAAGCCAGAACATCTTCATTGTAGGACGTATATGATTCGTCGTCCCCCTGGATGCGGGTTGCGAGCTTCTGCTTCGCTACCACAGAACATCTTGCAGACGTGCCAAATATCTGACGGAGATGCTCCGTGAAGTCCAACCAATTGGAGAAGTCGCTCCCTTGGTTGTAATACCAGGTTTTAGTGACGCCATTGAGGTAAAAAGGAATGTAGCGCAGTTTGTGCGCCTCGTCTCAATAATTACAAATGCTGATCCGATAATAACTGTCCAGCCATTCTTCGACGTCTTCGCCGCGTAGGCCGGAAAATACAGGAGGGTCTTGTTGAGAGATACTCACGGTGTAGTGACGCCTAAGTGGCTGAGAAGGAGCAGTTGCAGCAGGGGACGCATCGGGTTCTGCCATCGCTGTTGCTTGAGGGCACAACCGTCGACCAGACCGGAGCTCCAGAGGTGATGGGTAGAGCAGGAGGACGTGGGAACCAAAGCACACTCCACCACTTATGAGACCACGTACGGTACGGCAGTAACCAGGTTATATTTTCAATCCAGATGCACGAGCCGAAGAGCCCCAGCCCGCATGACATACGATGATGATCACTAAAGTGGTTTGGTCATACAGATGAAGTACATAGTTAGCGCTCACATATTTGTAAGTATACGTATATATATATATATATATATATATATATATATATATATATATATATATATATATATAATGTGTGTGTGTGGGTATTGGCCGGAAAAGACTGACGCTTCGGCCGTGGGACCAGCCTTCGTCGGATTGGAGCACACATGCGGCAGTAGCGCAATATAAGACAACCAATGTTGTAGTGTCCGCTATTTTATGGAGGTGTTTCAGTACCGGCATGCTGTGCTGCTCAATTTTATTGTTGTTTTGCATCTTTAACAACTACACGGGCAGTGTTACGGCAGACAAATAGACATGAAAAACGTTAGGTTGATGCAGGTAATGTTTCATGACCTTATAATGATTCACATGGCAATATACAGAAACAACAAAACATCAACTTTACAACTGAAGATGGCGGTGCCCATATGGCTAAGGTGTAATACTAAGTTACTGGCTCACAAACCATTGTGAGCAGTGCGTGGTGAAACACTAGTACGTGCAATAGGACAAAAAAGAGAATTTACGCATGCACACTTATCCAACAATACAGTGTGAAACAGTTGAAGCCACAAAAATGTGTAATCGCACAAACAATCACAAGTTATAAGTTCTATTGTGAGCAGATTATTGATCAACAATAGAACGTACGCGTCACCCTGTCATGATCTGACAACAAAAAAAAAAACTTTTCTTATTTACTCAATTCATTTTTCATTTTTATTCATTTACTCATTTTTCATTTACAGTCATTTACGGGATGGTGACGGTCATCTTGAGGTGAATTCTGTTTTCAGCATTACCAGCAGAATGGCACATTGAGCGTGCGTCGCCACATCGTCACAACGCGGTGGCACGCACTTTCATCTCGCAAGCATACTTTGCTCCGCAGAAAGGGGGCAGGCTGAACGCGTGCGCTTGTATCGCGGTGGGGATAATCACACATCTTGAATGGTCCATGGGTTTTCACCGTAACGATTCTGTTGTAGTTAGCGGGCTGACAAACTTCACTTCAATCGTTGCACAGTCTTCGTTTGCGAAAAGGGCGCGCTTTTCAGATACAGCAAAGTAACAACTAAGATGCTTATTCGCGTTCATATCTGTGAGTACATTTTGTGCACCATGTTGTTACATGACATGCATGTCATGATTACTATGTTTGGACATGTCCCTTAACTATGTCATCTCTTCACGTCACGTATTGCCGAAATTGGTGCATGTGAAACTGGAAAAACGGCCAGAAGCGCAACATGAGCATAGCATGTAGTCATGTTGTTACATGACACGCACCTGTTGATTATCATGTTTGCACCAGTCGCATACCTTTGTCATTAATTCACGTCCCGTATACGAAACTTGGTATAAGTGAAGCTTGCGAAATGGCCGCGAGCGCATCATGAGTGTGGCATGTAGTCATGTTGTTACATTACACGATTGTCATGATTTTCATGTTCAGGTCTGTTGCTTGTGTTCGCCATACCGTCATGTCAAACCATACCTATTTAGCAAAATGTCATGTAACGAAACCACTGTAAGAGCAACAAGAGCACGATATGTAAGTCATGACATACATGCCATTATTTTTATGTTATAGCTAGTCACTTATGTTTGTGATAGTCATGTTATGCTAAACCAGATGCCGTGTCGATACCATTATCAAAACAGCCAGGAGAGCAAAAAGTCGTACACGGATGGACGGATGGATGGATGGATAAATATTGGGTGGGTGGGTGGGCGAGTTTAGTTATTAAAGTTTGCTAAGAAATGCTTCGCATTTAAAATGCTAATGGCAGCCCCAAAACATTACCTTTCCTGCTCCAGAATCTGCTCCAAAAAGCGGACTGTTGCTTTCTACACTGCAATGGTAAATAGGGTTTATGCAGGGTACTTGAAACTCTTGATAACCAAAATTTTCACTTTCAAGTCCTGAAAGTGCTGTAGTTTTTGCAACTTACCAAATTTTCTTTTTTCTATTTGAATACATGTTGTGCATTTCATGGCACAATATTTGTAGTGCCATAAATGTTGCAGGTAGCACAAGCAGGAAACAAAGGAAACCAACACCGTGAATTTCTGTAAAGTTGAAGGAAGCAGGAACAGAAGGATAAGAAATGAAAAAAAAAATTTGAATTGAGCAGGAAATCGGAATGTTACAAAAAAAAACAAAAAAACTAGACGCCAATCTGAAGTAACCAACAGCTATATGAGACTCGTAACCAGAAAAGGCAGAGGGAACTAGCCACTTGACATGCATCAAGTCAAATATCCTTGGGAAGACAAGCCAAGAACAAGCAGCAGTTCACTCTTATGCGAAAGTTCAGCAAAAGCGATTTCTGGAATACTGAGTTATTTTTCATGCCGCTCCCAGGAACTATCATTGAAATTATTTTCATTCATTTTTTCTTTCTTCACATTTACATTACAATTACCTGGCATACCATCTCTTATATTTCACTTAGCGTGACTGTTTGATTTAATTAACACTGTGCCTAACGAAGAAATTGAGCCCTTAATTGAAGTATTCCTTCCTTCATTCATAGAGAGTCTCGTTCTGGCAGACTTGAAGCCTTAAGATGCTGTGGGAGGGATTATTGGTCAGCTGTCATCTAATGATATCGCCTGACGCCATACAGACAAGAAGGCTCCACAGTCGCCGCCATGGCGACAGGTGGCACTCACGATCCCTCGTTGATTTCACATATATATCTACCCAATAAAGTAGATGGGGAAATAGCCATCGTGGTGGCTGAGTTGAAGAGCCTATGACTGCATTATTTGAAGGTCGAAGGTTCGGTCCTTGCCCAGGGCAAGTTATCTTTCCGTCCACTTTTTTTCTTCACATTTACAATACGATTGCTTCTAATAACATCCTCTACACTTTCCTTGGCATTATTGTCTGTTAGATCTTATTATTATTCTGTCCAACGAAGAAAATGAGCCATTCATGATACGCTTCTCTTCCTAGCAAGAAAATGTAATCGCAGCCATATTTTCTAAGTCTGTTCTTGTGTTTTACCTGCTTTTAATGAATAGTAAGTATTTTGACCCTTCATCTTCTCCTGAAATACGTTAGTTGGGTTTTTGACTGACAATAGGGTCCTTGGAATATAATAGCCATAGCCTTGAATGTCCTTGAAAAATCCAAATTTTTGTCACATAAACGAGCATGAACCCTGTTAAGTCTGATGCCGCGAAATGACTGTAGACAGCAGTGTAAAGCTATGAATGCAGCTGTTTACGTGGCAAGCCACCCGATCTACACGGTGATGGTGCTATGGAGTCTCATTGAAAGCCCTTATTTACAACGAAAGCACAGAAGGGCATTGCTGTCTTGTAAAAAAAAAAGTGAGCATAAGTTCTGCTTCATTAGATTCCCAATAACAGGGCAGAAAAAGAATTCTCTTGGGATTAAAAAAAAAGCACGTTGTTTTGCTGAGAAGCTGACAATCCGTTATCGTGGTGCAGTGGCTTGCTATGTTTTGGACTGCCGACTTGTTGGTTTGAAACTGGATATAGGTTTGACTCCCAACTATTGTAAATAAATGCTTTTCAATAAAGATAAAATGCACAAGCTAATAGAGGTATCATTTGGGTTTCGTGCAGTGTGATTTTACTCTGTTCAATATTAAGGTCTGCCTAAGCAGATGCAGCCGCTGTATCAATGTTTGTACTACATTCATTGATCCGCTATTGCTGCAGGCGTACTTCTTCGATGCCAAGACCTTCGAAGAAGGGTCACCGCCACAAGGTCGCCACCGCTTCGGATCATGCCACATTTGTGGAATGATGGGGCATTACATCAGGAATTGCCCGCACATGGACAACATCTTCATTGTCAAGAAGAAAAGTTCGGCAAACCCCAGGTACTGTGCAAATCCATGTTATGCAAATAATATGGAAGGAAGGTGATAGCGGTGCCCAATTTTAAACGCAAATGCATTGCGTGGTCGGGCTATGTCAGGCGCCCGTCGAGATCTGTCCACCGCCCTCGCCCATAGCAACAGCTGTGGGCGCATGCGCTTATCCTCGCCCCTAGCAACCGAAGCCACTACCCCCTTGACTTGAACGTGACTTGCCACCGCCTCAATGCAAAGCGTTGGAAGCACATTTGTTGTGTTTGTGCTACTAGTGTTTGGTTAGCATATGTGTTCAACCGTGCATGCTATAGCTACTAGAGCTGGAAAGGCATACCATCTTTCTCGCGACAGAAAAACGCCACGTGCGATAAACGGCACTATTGGCTTTAAGGTGCGATAAAAAAAAAACATTATTTTTCTAACACTGGTTTCTCATGTGCGAAATGCCATAACGCTACGCACTGCATTCGCACTTTGTCCTAATTGCCTTTGGGGAGGTGGAAGCCTTTTTTAAATGCGAAGCATTTCTTAGTGAACTTTGGCCACTTAAAACGTATCTATCTATCTATCTATCTATCTATCTATCTATCTATCTATCTATATCTATATCTATATCTATATCTATATCTATATCTATATCTATCTATCTATCTATATCTATATCTATATCTATATCTATATCTATATCTATATCTATAGCTATATCTATATCTATATCTATAGCTATATCTATAGCTATATCTATAGCTATATCTATAGCTATATCTATAGCTATATCTATAGCTATATCTATATCTATATCTATATCTATATCTATATCTATATCTATATCTATATCTATATCTATATCTATAGCTATAGCTATAGCTATAGCTATAGCTATAGCTATAGCTATAGCTATAGCTATAGCTATAGCTATATCTATAGCTATAGCTATAGCTATATCTATAGCTATATCTATAGCTATAGCTATATCTATATCTATCTATATCTATATCTATATCTATATCTATATCTATATCTATATCTATATCTATCTATATATATATCTATCTATATATATATCTATATCTATATCTATCTATATCTATCTATTTAATCAACCACCTACGACTTATAGCGCTCCTGGCCATTTCGATAATGGTATCGGTACCAAACTTGGTATGGCAGAACATTACTGTATTAAGAACATATTTGACTAGTCATAACATGAAAATCATGATATGTATGTCATAAATGTCATGATTTTTTATGGCCTAGCTGCTGCCCCGCCGCGGTGGTCTAGTGGCTAAGGTACTCGGCTGCTGACCCGCAGGGCGCGGGTACGAATCCCGGCTGCGGCGGCTGCATTTCCGATGGAGGTGGAAATGTTGTAGGCCCGTGTGCTCAGATTTCGGTGCACGTTAAAGAACCCCAGGTGGTCTAAATTTCCAGAGCCCTCCACTACGGCGTCTTTCATAATCATATAGTGGTTTTGGGACGTTAAACTCCACATATCAATCAATCAAATCAATCATGGCCTAGCTGCTCTTGCGGTAGATTCATTCACATGACTTGTTGCAAAACTGGTATGTTACAGCTTGATTGCATGGTGAACTCAAGCAACAGGCCCTAACTCAAAAATGACATGTGTGTCATGTAGCAAGAATACATGGCACACTCATGATGCGCTCGTGGCCGTTTCACTATTTTCACATGTACCAAACTTGGTATTACGCGATGCGAACGGACGACATAGGTAAATGACACATCTGAACAAAATCCCAACATGCATGTCATGTAACATGACTACATGTCACACTGATGATGCGCTCACAGCAGTTTCGCTAGCTTCACGTATGCCAAATTTTTTTGTCACTGTCAAGTGTCAAGCTTGACAGACTTTTCTAAGTAGTTAGGCTGCAGCGGCAGAGCAGCAAAACGCCCCGCCGCGGTGGTCTAGTGGCTAAGGTACTCGGCTACTGACCCGCAGGTCGCGGGTTCGAATCCCGGCTGCCGCGGCTGCATTTCCGATGGAGGCGGAAATGTTGTAGGCCCGTGTGCTCAGATTTGGGTGCACGTTAAAGAACCCCAGGTGGTCGAAATTTCCGGAGCCCTCCACTACGGCGTCTCTCATAATCATATGGTAGTTTTGGGACGTTAAACCCCACATATCATCATCATAGAGCAGCAAAACACCAGTGTACAGTAAAATCTCTATACAACCAATCTCAAGAGAGCGTTAAAAATCACATGTTATTTTCAAAAGTCGTGGCAGAAGTATTTAAAACTTTTGAAAAAAATGGCACCATATCCACGGAGTGAATGATGGGGAGTGGGGGGAAGCATTTGTCCGTCCATTCGTTCATGCTTCCGTCCGTTCCTGCGTGCGTCTGTGTAACCGTCCATGCGTCCATCCACCCGTCCGTGCATGCGTCTGTTCGTGCGTCCGTCCCTGCGTTCGTCCATGCATCCCCGCCTGCGTCCGTTCATGCGTCCATCCATGCATCTGTCTGTGTGTCCGTTCGTCCATCTATTCAGCACTCCAAGTACCACCATCTCGCATCTTTTCATCATATATTCTCCATATAGAAGCACCGCGATCCAGCGGACATTTCAAGGACTAAACAGGAGGTGGCACATGCACACTTTCTTACGGCTTGCGCTTCGGGTTTACTTCCCACCTTTAACCACCTCGAGTTCATGGTATATACTAGTTCACTGTATTGATGGCTATGCGGCCCAACGCTCGCTAAACCTTTCTAAAACAAAGGAGGTTACACCCAGCGAGTATAACATAGCAACCCTTTCTTGTCAGATCGTGCTCAGTGTACATGCCAATAGCTGCTAATGGGGATCGCAGCGTGCGCGTTACCTAAAGGTCGAATGCTCCTGTCTCTCATTCCCCCTTAGCAGCCTATTAACATGGGCATTGAGCACTATCTTTTATTGTTCAACAACGCACAGAAGAAATATCTCACCGGAACCACCTTGGAGGTCAAAATCGTAAGGACCGCTATTTCGGGTATGTGCCACTGGTAGTTCCATACTATGAGGGAGGCACAAGCCACGCCATAAGGAGCTTCGCCCCTAAAATTGTAAACGCAACCATGGTGAGTTGCCTACATGGGCTGTGTATACATTCGCGACCACGTTATGCTCTGATAGGTGTGAAAAACAAAGAAGCTGAAAATTTTACAGAATCGATGCACGTTCATTTGAGGAAGAGAGTGATCTATCCTGGCTTAGGTAGCTTGATTGCTAAAAGACGAACTCTTTAAAGAGGCCCTGAAACACTTTTTCAAGTAACCACGGAATGAATTCACCGGAAAAGCTTATTGCCTCACGAATTCAACGCCACAAAAATTTTAAGAATCTGTCCAGTGCGAGTGGAGTTACAAAAGTTTTTCGCATGCTGCAATTGCATTCTCTTTTCTCTCGTCCCGACGAGAGCGCTGGAAAATAAGCAGGGAGGGATGGCAAGGCCGCAGAAAAGCGTCGCGCGTGCTCTTTTTAAAATTTTTTTTACTACGAAGTAAAATAATTTTCATTCGCTTCGCGCTCTTATGTTGCGCATTTGAACGCGCAACTTTTTCAATGTGATCGCATGCGCACTCGTGGGCCAGTAGCGGCCTCCCACGGTGATCTGTTACGAGCGAGCGCGCCATGTTTAAATTAGCCAATGGCTGATAGATGGGACCTTGACATGAGATTTGTGGGCATATAACGTGATCTGTCGAGAGAAGAGCAAGCAATTTTCAGCCAACTTTGATAATTTATTGTTTATTCTAGGCCACGTGCTATGCTACAATATTTTGCTCGCGCGTTGTTGGGAGCCTCTACTAACGATCGGCAGCGTTTTCTGACCATGCTCACAAAGTGTTGCAGGGCCCCCTTATGTCTTCGCATCCTTCTTTCACTCTTCTGGCATTAAATAAAAATTTTTTCTGCTGATTCGGGTGTGCAGCAAAAATCTGTTGTGGAGGATGTTGTTCATGGTGGGTGGCAAAACGTACACGACAAACCTTCTGGGTGTTATACACGTTCTTCCGCACTCATGGGTGCTGGTAGAGCGTGCAATGATACAAAACTGTTTCGTGCGAGCACAATTCAGGATGCCAGAAGAAGACAGCAACGACAACGAAGATGAGGATACTAAAGAATGCGAGAGCATTCTTGTTTTGGTGCTGAAGTGGCAAGGAAAAGGAGTCGAAAAGTTAAACTTTTTCACTTTCTGGGTGTGGACGCAGACGTCTTTACATGTCCAGACTTTTCCCGACTGCAACATTGTTCTCACCTTCGCCCTTCGTCCTGATTCAAGGGAAAATGAGGAGGAGAGTGGTGCCGAAGTGGACGAAGGCCCCTCTTTATCTGAAGCTGTGCATGCTGTAATTGTGATGTGAGCCTTCGCCGAGAAGCGCGGCCAAATAGACCGGCTGGCTCGTGACCTCACCCACTTCGAAGATGCCATCTTCGCAGCAAGGCCACGACGGCGGCATGTGAAGATTACGGATTTTTTTGCTGCTTGTCCCTACAGGAAGCTTGCATGCCTGCGTTTGTGTGCGCAAATGTTTGTGAGGATCGTGGTGTTCTTTTCTGACCGTTAAGTAGCCGCTGAACTGGCACCGATGGTTAATTAATACATCACTTAGTACGTACCAAAACGTCTTTCCCGGCCAAATACATAGTAACGAAGTTTCACTGTAGTTAATTTTAGCAAACTCTATGGGGCCCACAGAGAAATACGGAGGCACTCTGATGATGATGATAGTGGCAAGTACAGAGTTGGGCATTACTTTCACAGCTGCTAGTAACTTCTTAAAATAGCTATTATTTGCTATATCAAAGTGTTGTGGAGATATAAAGGGGATAAAATACTATCTGCTATTCTGTTTGTATTTTGAAATTTGTACTTGTGAAATATTTTTACATAGTACCAATGGATACTTGGAGGAGGATTTTCGAAAAAGTTGTTAATCTGAACGAATGGTTATTCTCAGGTTCTCTATAAAAAGATTTGACTGTAC